ACACCAGAGAGAGGGTATCTCTGAAGGAAAGAAGGAAGGGAAATCCTGACCAAGTCACCTTAGGGCACTGGCAGATATGCCTGAGAGGGGAGCCTGTGTGGGGTGGAGGGCAGAAGAACACTTACTCCTACAGAGGCAGGGACATTTGGGGATTAGAAGGAAACATTCATGGGAGAGGATCCACAGCACCCATCTGTCATTTCTCCAGCCACACTTGGAAGGATGGAAAAGTGGCAGAGAAAGCAGGTAAAGGGATTTCCTCAGGGCTGGGCATAAACATAAGGTGTTGCAGAAGGCAAGGTGGCCAGGAGCCCAGGAGACTGGGGTAATGGTAGAAACCCAAGTGAGGCCTGGAGGGTTCAGGAGAAGCTGAGGGTTTCCAGACAGGCATCAAATACATGCTGTGGTGGGAAGAACCTAGGGCTCCAATCGGAAAGCCTGGGATCCAACTAATTCCCCAGTCTTGACTGAATATGGTACTTCTGAGTCCCATACTGGTGAATGTCTTGCTATTGAGCTTTGAGCTTCCTTTGCCCAGTGGTAAAATGTAAGGATATTTCTCCCCTTGGGGCTATGGTGAAGTGTTAGAGAATAATGCTTGGGGAAGGCTCCAGCTATACTGTTGCATTCCTTTCTCTCGGGGGACCTAGTTCAGTGGCTGCCCTGACATGATTTATATATATATTATATATATACACACACACACACACACATTTATATATTTTTAAGGAAATCCCAATCTTTTTTGAAAGCCACAGTAGGGATATAAGTAAATTCCTTAGGATTTATTTCATGATATATTTGCCTCTATCCTGACAAAGTTCTTTTCCTGCTGGCCGCTCTTTTCTACAAGGCCTCAGCTATGGCCTCTGAAGAGCTCAACAGCCCTAACAGGGTTTCCAACTGCTCTAGCCCTACTGCTAGAATAATCCTAGCCTGATGTAAAATGGTTGCCTGAGAAATCTCAAAGCTGCCAGCACCTCAGGACGAGGTCCCTGTCTCCAGCCTCAGAGTGAGTGCAGCAGCCTGACTTCCTTAAGCACCAGTCAACAAACACAGAAGGGTTTCTCCTGGACCAACCTTCTGGCTTTTTGTAATGTTTCACCTCCTTACTGAGCCTCCACTCACCCCTCTCCCTACTCTTGCATTGTCCCTTTAAAGGGCCTGGTTACCTCCTTACAAATCAAAATGGAACTTGGCTCCTTCACCTACTGTCAGCAGTTGATGAATAAAATCTATTTTCACTCCTCTATTGTCTGTCTATGTTTCATCTTGACAATACCGATATGTGGGAATAATAGTTGTCTAGTTCTGAGTTTTTTTATCTAGCAAGAAGCTCTGTATGTTCTGATATATCACTCTCACATGTGAACCCTAGAATCATTTTATAAGTATTTTTGTAAATATTTATAAACATTCTAGGCTATAGATCTTATTGTATTATATATATATATATATATATATATATATATATATATATATATATATATCAAACAAATGGATCATAAAAAATTGTTTAAGGAAATCATCCTCCATAGCGTCTCAGAATTGGCTGCGTTAATTAATAGAAAAACCTTAATATAAATGGCCAAAACATATTTATAACATTAATTAGACAAATCTTAAGAAAATGTTCTAGTCTATTCAACTTTCCATTTTATTCCCAAGGCAGTTCTAGATCACGCAACAGTGAATCACAATATAAAGAGAACAAAGCAGAGACTAGATGCATTTCCTGCTGCTAGAATGTAGTACATTCTCTCCAGAGTAGCAGTTTTGAGTGCCTCTACACACACACACACACACACACACACAACGCCCCACAATGGGAAAAAGAGATGTCACTCCAGTCAGACATTCTGTTCCTTTTCACTATCCCCTAAGTCTATTGCTTTGGCAACAAATATTTTTAAAAACCATGGATTACAACCATTAGGGAAACAAAATCAATTTAGTAGGTAGGAACAGAATTTGTTAATAAAATGAAATAGCGTGATACAACAGAAGAGGAAACATCAGAGTGTATCTCAGACAGAGGTAGTGCTGGAAGAAGAGTCAGTAAAGCTTTATTTCCGTTAAACCTGCACGTGTATCTATGTCTTTATATTGCATCAGGATATATTTCTCACTTTTGACCAAGAACAACATTTTAAGAACAATCTCCAGTGCAACAGCAGAACCTCCTATGAAACACAATTACATTTTATAGCTGGTGCTCCTTCTTTGGAGCCCTCTTGGCATCTGGGCCATTTACTCAAAAAATTCAATCACATAGTACTTTTATTGTGGTGGGCAAGTTCTGGATGCTGGCACCAGATCACTAGGGTGCTTGTTTTCTTTGGCAAGCAAGGGATGTGCCATGCACAGCAAGGCAAGCCTAACCAGCATGCAGTGCCTGCTAGTACAAGAAGAGCCATGATATCAAGGACTTGCAATCTCATGGAAGCTTCCTAATGGAAGGGCAATGTTGAAAAGGATTTGAGGGGCAAGATGTCAGCACAGTTAAAATGAACAACATAACAAAAAAAACTAAAGGCATCCCTCCAATATCTCTTACTGGCTTCCAGAAAGGGAAGGACTGTTCTAGTAAACAAAACTATAACTGCTCAAAGTGTCACCAATGTGAAAGTACACAGCTAACCATTTCCTTACTAACCATTTCCTAAGTTGTTCAACATGATGGGAAAGGTATTGAAACATCAAGTTTACCCCCAACAGTTATAAAATTGCTGTCTCTTCTTAGTTTTGTTAAGTGAAAAGTAGGATGTGATTTTTTTTCATTCATAATAGTATGTGTATACAGAAGTTTACTGATGCTAAGAAACCTGATACCAAGATGTCTGGGCAACCACACTGTTAGAGTTGTTGATCCATACTTTGCACACAGAAGATGCTCAAAGACTGTCAAAAATTATTGAATGAATTGAGTCTCAGGTTTGCATTCTAGACTAAGGAATAAATCTATTAAAAAAGACAGTATTACTGCTACTGAAGTTGATGGCTGGTACAGATGGAAAATGCAAAAGAGATATTGCTTCTCTCCTGGTAAGATGAGCCATCATGAAAACCAGCACCCATACAGAAGCAAGAACAGGAGTCGTTTTCCCACTGGTTTTTGAGGCTTATTCTGGCCTTTCATCATTTTAATCTCTAATAAAACAAAGTGGATGATGCAGAACACATGCAACCTTTAGAGAGATGGAAGCTGTACACTGTGGCAACAATGAGTGCCCTTCACAAACTGGTTCCAAATAACAACCTGTGCTGGGTCTGAAAGTCCTGAAAGCGTGTTTGTTTTCTGAGGTGTCTTCATTACACAATATTCAAAGCTTTACTTGCTTCATACCTAGGAAATACCATGCTTCATTTGATGACAGGACTTTAGGAATAGCCTGTTTCTCGTATGTACTCCTTTTTATGATGTGGGCCAATCATTTTTAAAGATATTCTGGCAAGACTGATGACAGCTCAGATATAATGGGGAAGGAAAGAGTAAGAGTTGCTAAAGGATCTTAAAAAAAAACCCTGAGATGGACAACAAAGCCTATATACAGTGCCATGAACCAATCTTTAAATGTCAGGGTTGTAGAGAGAAGGATTTCCATTAAGGACAGAAACCAAGCTTCAGGTACTATTCATGGTGGGAGGAACATATCAGAAGTTCAGGATAATGAAGAGTCTCTAACAAGGAGAACTTCATTCATTACAAGAAATATGCATAACACAAACTGGAAAATAAGAGAAACACATATCAGAAAACTGAGAGCTCTTAGGCCCTGAAATAGAGAATTAAAAATATGTATAAAATTCTAGTGGAGAAGGAAGTAGAATTATTCTACAGTTCTTTACCTTATCAAATCAGTGTGTACTTTTCCTCAGTCTCAGCTGCTTTATTTTACAAAATATTGAGCTCACAGAAGGGTCTAAATGTTTATGATTTCTTATCCTAAGTTAAGTTTCACCATTTGCTTAAATGTTAGGGGATTTTTGCCTAGTTTCTTACACACATAAAAAAATTGCTGGAGTGAAAAATTATATGTAAAGCAGTTACGTATTTTCTACTTGGCTTTAATCATGCCTAACTACATGCAATAGCCTACACTATCACAGTTCTTCTGAAACTGGAATTTCGAGTCCTGCCCATGTGATTAGATTAGAAATCTTGGTGATGACTTGCTTTAATTGCAGGAAAAAAATTTGGAGTTCACTCTCTACTCACCTGGGATTTAGGATAATTTACTGGACTCCTCTCCTACATAAATTTACACAGATGTCCATACAACTTCAGAGGTAGTAAGAGTGAACAAGTTAATCTCTTGGAATATAGAAGCAACCAGTTCAGCTCCATGAGTTTAAGCCATTCGACTTTACTAAACTTTCCTAACTAATCAGTGTATTTGATGTGCATATATACTATTGCTCTATATAAGTTCTTTACTTTGAAAAAAGAATCTATAAGCTCTGCAACAATTGTACATATATAAAAAGCAGTTTGTACAGCATCACTCTAAAAAGTTTCAGGGTGGCTTTATTTGATAATACTTGCAGACAGCATCGTGCACTGCTAATAAATGTGCAAGCTAGATACTGTAGTATGAAAAATAAACCTCTCTCACTCTCAACTCTCAGTGCCTTTTTAGATTAATTTGGAAAACTGGAAATACATCTTTATGAATTTTGAAATCCTGTCAATTAATATAATTGCTATTGCAAGTCCAGCAAATTTCATTCTATATCACATTAGGCTAGAAAGGTACATACCAACAGACCAAACACACAATGAAAACATGCAGTGGAATTGTACTTAATGCATGGATATAAATGTGCACACGGAAGAGGCCAAGCATATCACTTAATTTAATACGAGCACAGGTCTGTACCAAAGGTCTGAAACATTGTAAACAGGCCTTAAGCAAAGGAGGAAATGTAGAGGGGAAACAAAGCTGAGAAAAATGAGCAGGAAATGGGCAAGATGACTCATCTATACTTGAACATCTGACCTGTTAGTTGGCCGTCGCCTGCAGCAGGGGCGATGCGAATGTAAGGTGTTGTAAGCTGAGTCACGATTATCGCAGCTAAGGCAAAGGAGGATTTCCAGGTCAGCATGCATGAGGGAAAAAAAAGCCAGACTGAAGCTAGGCTAGCAAGAAGAATCCCCATCAGTATATCAAATCGTCTCAACTTTGTTCCAATAACAATAAAAAGAAAAGGAAAAAAAAAGGCAAGGAAAAAAACATAGCAAGGTGTTGAATTTTATGAACTCTTTTCTCTTAAACAAGCGCTAGTCAGGCAGTAAGATTTCTAACTCTGACACAGTTGCAAGTTTTGGCTGGGATCTTGGATAGATCAACTGAAGGAAAAATAAAATAAAACAAAAAGTTAGTTCTATGTTAACCTGAAGACTAAACTGTTTCCAATTGCAATCCAGTGTGATGTAGAGAGATTAGTTGCTAATTCTGATGATACAAACATCAGGTTTTTAATTTATGAGGTTATTTAAAATGCATTGCTTAAGTATCTTCTCTTCTTGCTAAAATCACCTATGTGAAGAATATTATCCTCTTTCACTAAAAATGTTTTTATGCAGAACAATTCCTCTGATAACTACATTGCATGCAGATTTCCATTTAGGAACCGCTGTTTTTTCACATTAAGAGAATAAAAATTGTGTCTCAAAGTATTAGTTAAAAACAGAATGGAAACTACTAATTGCCTTTGCTATAATTGTCATGGTTAACATGTGACTGAAGAAATGATTAAGATTCTCCAAGTGAACTGGGCTGCCTTCTTGATTTGCCTGCACACCTCTATAGTTGTGTGTAAGTGGTTAACATTTATGACACACAGATATTGAAAAAAAAAAGGAAATTAAAACATCAGTTCTAACATGATACAGCTGGAAAATGATGCAAAGAAAAAATATTGGAAAATTAAGGACAGGCTTACATGAAAGATTACTAATTTACATGGAACAGCCTGAGCACTATTAGAAATGTGGCAGCGAGTAAGGAAAATAGATCATCTACCATCTGCAGACAATTAAACCCCAAACTGCTGCTGCATAATATTTTGAAATATCCCTCTGCACCATTCAAACAATGTTGCTTCTTATAACTACAAAGCTGTAGCAACTGAGTTTAAAATGGTGAGACAGTCTTTCACACATTATTAATGAATCCATTCTAGTTTTGCTAAGTGAGATGAACAAACTGTGTGGTCCACACAGTTCCAATGCATTACACCAAGACAATTTTCTAGAGATGACATATTCTGCAATTTTGCATATGGATAAACTTTGCACATGGAAAAATGATATTTCTAAGACTTGTTACAAAGTTAGGAGCAATTCCAAGGTCTACATACATTATATTTTTTCTTGGTCATACTACTCATACTTTACATTGTTGTGTATTACAGGAAGATCTGACCTACTCTACTTTTGAGAAAATTGATATTTTATTGAAAAACAGGGCTCTTTTCTAACATTCAAAAAGGGTAAATGGTCTGAACTAAAAGTTATTTGAAAATCACTATGGGTGGTCAGCCAGGCATTCACAAACTATAAAGAACTAACCACAATCCAAGGCTAAGCATTGCAATGTGTGTCAGGAAGGATATTTATGTAATCTCTATGTTCCTCTTTATAAAGTGTTTATTTGTGAATATTCTTTTTAGTTCAACCAAAATGCTTGATTGCATTACAAATTACTTTAAAATGAGTCAGTAGACTCACCTCTTACTTTTACAAATAAAGTTTTATTGGGCCAGGTGCAGTGATAATTGCCTATAAATTCCAGTGACTTGGAAGGCTGAGGCAATAGGATCTCAAGTTTCCTGAGGACAAACAGCAAAACCCTGTCTCAAAATAAAAATAAAAAGAACTATATCCATAGCTCTATGGTAGAGTGCCCCTGAGCTCGATCACCAGTCTGGAGGACAAAAGAACTGCTGAAACATGTCCACAGTCAATTATTTAGGTGTTGCCTATGACTGCCTTGTCTAGCAAGGCAGAGCTCAGTAGTTGTGACATATAGTTCACCAAGGCTAAAATAAATAAATAAATACAAATTTATTGTTATTATTATTCTTGCTGTACTGGTCATTGAACCCAAGGTGTCATACATTCCCTAGTCCAAAATATTTATTATCTGGTCTTTGACACAGAAGTTTGCTAATTTCTGCCTTGAAATATCAATAAGAATTTATATAAAAGTGAGTAGCACTAAATTTGGCAAAATAAAGCCAGAAATTTTAATCCTATACTTAGAAGACAGCATCTGATGGTGATAAAACTAGGGTCTCTTTAGGTATGGAGCTGTGCATGGAAGAGTAAATAATGTGTTAAATAGATCATACATATCTAAAGTGCAATTTCAGTTGCATGTAGAGGAATGTTTTGGAATTAAACTGAGTTGGCATTTACCAAACTCTGTTTTGCATGATCTGGTATTCTTCAAAAACAATTTTGGGTGAAATAAATAAATTCTGAATAGTGCATGTTCCTGTATCTAAATTTACAGCCTAAATAATAGGAGAGTAGCATATATGAGTAGCCTTACTATATAATTTGTTTTCTCAGATATTGAATACAAGTAATTAAAAGGAATCTTAATTAAGTTTTACATCTAAACATTCTTTTTGGTTCTTTTATCAATATAGTTCCATTCTGTAGCACTATGGCATAGAAATAATGTTTTTAGAACAAAAGTGTGAAAAGAAAAACAGTCTGGAGAAACTTCTCCAAGACACTAGTGATTAAAAAAATAAGTATTCAGATTTCTGAATATGGTTAGAAATTTTATCAGAACAATAGAAATCCTTCAAAGTTTTCTCAAGGTCTTCCAGCAAAGCATATTCCCATTCAGTACAAATTGAGTTAAATAAAATACTGATCTTACAATGAAGCATTTTTTTTCATAAAAAATTCGCCTTAAACCAAATTATTAGATGGAAAATGTAGTTTGTTTTCATGGTAAGGTTTTTGTAATCTGATATCTCTAGTATTTTTTGAAAAGAATTTAGCATGTGTTTGCACGTAGATTTTCTTCTGACATTTTTCTATACTGCTATTAGTCAAATCATAGCAAGAAAAGAACAAATTAAAGATAAAACCCCCTGCCCTTGAATATAAAACAAACAAACAAATAAACAAACAACCCCCTAAATTTAATGAACTCAAATTTTTCAAAGGTTGATATATTTATCTATCTGTACTTTGAATTCTACAGATTAGTCTATGACTAACAAATAGTAGGCATTTGAATAATTTAAAAAATAAGTGGAAAAGAGGAAAGCATCAATGGTTACACTGTCAAGGAGAGACATAGGTGGCATCATATTATGGAAAATAATCTTATAAAAGATTAATGTAATGTGTATAGTTTAAATTGTCATTATAATTAGAATGAATATACCTCATAATACAAAAGAACTAATTTACTAATAAGACAGATTTTAATTTTTAAGCATACCCTGTCAGTTTAGAGTTGATCATCCATACAACCTTCCAAAATTCTGAAGTGTTTCTACCCAAACAGTTATTATAAGGTAGCCAAACTGTATATAAAAGTTAAGGAAAATAATACACTAATTACTAAGAAAGAGTTGGACCAAATGGTCATTAAAAGAATCCAACTGTAAAAATGTGAGTTTAATTTTTAAAAATTTTGGAAAATCTAAGTACAGTTAAAAACTTTTATATTTGCTCCAGGGTACTGATTAAATTGGAAGGATCACACCCAAATGTCACTCATACCCTACTATATAGTGCCTTCAATGTTTTAACTCAAAAGAGAATGTTCTGTAATGAGTATGTCTATAGTCAACAAACTGAGGTCAGATAACTATGGGCATCTCATCTAGATATACAAATTAAAGGAGGATACATAAAAAATATAGGTAATCATCCAGACATGAAAATATGTAATAACACACCTTAGGTTTTCCATGAGACTATATTTAAAATGATAAGTGTCAAAATATATCTTTGGAATATGATTAAAATAATCACAACTTTAAATTTATAAATAGCATGAGATATATTTTTGACACACCCTTACCTGAAATTATAAACTATTTCTTTTGAAAACAAATCCACCTCCATACTTTCTCTATAAAGATCTTTTCAACAGTTGTTTCAGGAAAACACTGAAATCTTTGTGCACTTAAGATGCTGCTTAGGAAAGTGGTTCAATATCTGAAAACTCAATTAAGCTACCACACTGTCAGCAATATGTGGCAAAACACACTGGATGTGTGAATTTTTAAATTTCAAACATTTTTATTGCACACTACTAATAAAGTTATTAAATCTACCCATTTCCGTGTTTAGATGGAATGGCCTCCTGTGGTGCAAAAATAATTTTTAGTATAGAGAAGGGAAAAATATCTCATTATAAAGGTGGTGAAACATTATGCTGTGCTGTAAAGGGAGAACTTCTGAATATATCCATGTAGAACTTTATAAAATAGCACAAAACGGTGTTTTTTTTGCCTGGAGGGAGATTATCCCCCAAGGTTTCCTACTATACTATGATTTTATGAAATAGGAACGACAATGTTAGGCAGTGAATATTAAAGTCTGTTTCCCTATTTTCCCCAAAGAGGTTATTTGGATACAGTCTGTTGCTGTGTAAATGTTTGCAAATGACTCAGAAAATATGAGTTGGGAATACTTAGGCAATCAGGTCATCTGACTGCCTAATCATCCTTTGGTGAATTGAAAAACAAATTACAATATTGATGAAATTTAGCTGATGGAAGAAAATGATCCAAATCACCATCTAATTCAATCTATTGTGGAAACAGCAAACTTGTCAGGTTTCCATATTTACTAGTGTATCATTTATATAATTATTTAACTATGTGAATCAGCCTGATGAGAAATAGTTCATTGTTTTCACAGCAGATTGGGCAGTGACTCAATTCTGATAAAGGGGAGGTCAGAAGCTTAAACTACACAAAAGTATAATTGGCCAGAGTTTCTGCTGTGTGAAAAACCATGAGACAAAGTGAAAGAAACACTGGGGTAGGAGCCATAATGCTTGGGATAGAGCTGTGACCCACATATTATTAGCTGAGTGACCCTAGTAAGTCCACTCATCTCCAAATACACACATTGTCTTCATCTTAAAAATAAGAGAGTCGAACTACTTGTCTCCTTTTTTGTACTGGTGGTTAAGAAATAAATGAGAACACATGTATGAAAGTGATTTTAAAATTTTCCACTATAATGTTAAACACAAAGCATTATAAATTAGGCACCTTGGGACTAGATTTACTTTTTCAGACCGTAAGGGTAAGTGGAATGTAATAATGCAATATTTCACAAGTCCTGTGCTCAAGCACAGGCAATTGGCTGCAGATCTAAGATCCTGGATGGATACCTGGTTCAAGGGCTTTGTAATACAATAGATAACTGAAAGCAGCTTATAAAACATATTAACTATAATTTCATTTTCTACTAACTTACTCCTATAAATAAAGGTATTCATTAGGTTCAATATAATATACAGAAGGTTTTAAAAGCAAAAAAAAAAAATAGATTCTCAAAAGTAGACCTATAAGCCCCATAAGAACAAGTCACAAATGAGTTCAGTAGCTTGCACATAACATGCAAAGGATAAACATTTGTTAATACTAAATGCAAAAGTCATGTATCTTCATGGAGCAAAAATGCAATGAAGATTTTGATGTACATGCCTAACCATGGCATATTCAAACTCTTTCCTGACATTTAAACAACAACAAAATGATAATTTTATCCAATAACACTTATCCGGCATGAACTGATGTAATATAATGCCACAGACTCAGTGATGCCTTCTTCTCAATATTTCTTAGTTAAATCACACAGGACCTCATGAATACCCTGATGGTCTGAAAGAGTATATTGAACTATAATGGTTAATTTATAGTGATTCATTTTAATAAGGCATTTTATATTTCTCAAAGCATTTTCTTATGCACTTCCATATGTAATGTTTATCATATGAAATGATAAGAGATTACTGCTCATGTCCAAGAACTCACATCTGCACCTTCTTTAGGAAGTGTTGTGTGGGCAGTACATGGTGACTCACCTATCTATAGCTCATCCTTGATCGCATTTCTCAGAATTTTAACCAGGCCTGGGAAATAGAAGTTCTGTAATAAGATCTCCTGGCTCCTGGGACTCAAGCATCATCAGTGAAAAAAGCTCATATAGACTTGATTTTCTAGGGCTATTATAGTTAGATCTCTGCTGAAAATAGCAGGTGTGCCCTGATGGCACACACCTGTCATCCCAGCTATTTGGGAGGTGAGGAATAAAGATCACTTGGTCTCAGGAGTTTGGGGCCAGACTAGGCAACACAGCAAGACCTCATCTCATTAAAGAAGGGCATAAATATTTTACTCTCTTGTATATGAAGACTCTCAAAATATAGTTTTACTAGGTAGGGTGAACAATGATCTAAACAGGTATGATGTGTATAGACATCATATAAAATTAATATTTTAGAACAATTTTTAAAAAGATAAGCATTGAAAACTGCTTGGAACATGGCAGTATGAATCATAATTGTAAAAAGTATGTACATAAAATAGTGTTAACTGCCATAAATACTTCAACACATATATATATATATATATATATATATGCATGCATGCATATAGATATGATACATACACCCAGAGACATGCACATACTTATATAAATGAAGTTACATTGCAAAAAGCTTTGAAAGATAGCCCAAAGTAAATTTTAAGAGACATAAGCCAGAAGATATTCCCACAATTTCAACCTACCTTTTGTGGCCACTCGGACACAGTCAATTTTAGTTTCCTGTATTAAATAAAGAGGGGTGAAATTATTATTTATATTTTATTTAAAACAACAGAATTATCTATAATTTGAGTTGAATAACACTGATAAAGAAAGATTTCATTGTTCCACTTAGTTCACTCTCTGAACAATGTTCATGTACATTTTCTGGCTCCAGTGTAGATGATCTTGGGGAATGCTGTACCCCATGAGGAAGGAGGAGTTGAACATAAATGATCTCTACCTGGTGGATGCTGAATGTTTCCCCAAACCCATCCTTGTGCCCAGTGCAAAGACCAATGGAAGGATTCTACATCCCAGATTTTTTCTTTCACTGGCAAAAATTCAGTGGCCAGTGATACCCAGACCTGTGCCATGAGAGATGGAATTGATAGAAGAATATGGAAAATGTTTCCTTTTGTGTAATGAGACTTAAAAATTTTATCAGAGCTCAGGTTGGTCTGAACAAGAAACGGGACAAATTTCAGATGTGGGACTCAATGATAGTTTTCATTTTATTCCATCTCATCTTCCTAAATCTGTTTTGTCTTAGAGGAAAAAAAAGAAAACATTTAATTTAGCCATAGCTAATAGGAAGCATAAAGTCTTGTGGAATTAAAGAAATGGGACAGATTTTCAGAATATGCTGAAAAGACAGATGTTGTAGAACTCGCAAAACTTTAAATGAGCTGGATATATGTGTTGTAGCTATACTGTTTTCCTGTAAAATAGTAAGCTAAGCAAAATGTCTAGCCAACTTTTGGTAATAAAAAAATCTGAAAGTAAAAACTATCATTGTTGACTTTCCAAACCAAAAAAAGATGAATATATGAATATATTCATTTTTTGCCATAAATTTCTCTAGATGAAAATAACTTTAAAGGAGAAAAATTGTTAACAAGTAAAAGCACACAAATGCATGACTTCACTTATTTACTACCATCTTACTTAAGCTATGTTCACATTAATAACCCAAAATAGCACTGGTAAACAATCAATAAAACTTACCCCATTGGCTCTACTAGCAGCTTGGAAATAAATTCGGTAGCTTTTATGGGGGAGGAGGGGAGTGTTCCAGTATCCATTGTATGTCTTGTTGTCACCAATAGTAAAAGGCTGAGCAGCTTGGAGGCTATCTGCCGGAAATTCTGCAGCAAAGTAGTACTGTGAGTTCAGGATGGAAGCATTCTGGAAGTGAATTGGCACTGGGTAGCACTTCAAGACCTCTGTTGTCTTTTTAGTTCTTCGAGGACGTTCTTCCTCAACAACTATTTGATAGACACTAAAGGAAAAAAAGGGAGAATCATAAGTGATCCCCTCTGCCTTCAACTGCAGGGAACCACACAGAAGATCTAAAATAAGGAACACAGTGAACACAGTCAAGTGCTTGGTACAGAAGCCACTCACTTGATGCTTGCTCATCAAAAGAGAGAAGGAGAGTGTTTATACTCTCCCTCAAAACTCTCTCACCCAAAATAACCCTAAATAATTTACTGAGAGAAACAAAACTTACCACAATTTAAAACATTTAGAAACTGCTGTTTGTAAGTAGGACACTAACATAATCCTTTTCACAAAAAGACCTGAAGATAATTTGTAAGCTTATTGATAATGAAATTATATTAACAGTAGGTTTGTAAGAAAGGCAATGCATTATTCTCTTCAGTGGCATCAGTATGACCACAGGTGAAGTTTTAACAAGTCACAAAAGAAATGTGCAGTGATTTATCTTAATTAATGTTTATGGCTCCCATCTTTTCTTACATTCCTTTGCCTTTGACCATATTCAGTCAGTGGAAAGCAATGATTTGAGAAAAACGGAGATGAGGGACTGGAATTTCAAAAGCCAATCTTTGGACTTCCATGTGACTTGAAAGAGTCTCACATACATCCTGCCTGTTGAGAGAAAGGGTTTCCCTCCAGAGGGATGGGCTGGCTGAGAAATAAAAGCTAAGAAAATAGTACTACAAAATAACCACAGGACACAGAAATATAGTTTCAGACTGGGATCAGTGAAGGGATAAGCTGACCAGTCAGGTGCAGCTTCTAACAAAGACTGAGCCCATGCTTGCTCTATTTATATCCATACAGATCAAAGAGGATTGGTAGGTATAAGGTTTCAGTGGGAGGAGTCTTGTCTCCTAGGTCCTTGCTTCTTCACAAAGAATAACAGGATATAGGTGGGCATAGGACCAGTGTTGGATGGGACCTTTTGGCTAGGTAAGAGCTCACATGTATGGGGCCATCTCACCAGCAGAAGAGCTGCTGTGAGTTTCGAGATACCAGATCTTCCCACTCAAAGGCTTCAATGACAATCTGGTCCATGCACAATTCATGGGAGGATTCCCACAGAAGAGAAAACCATGAAAGAAGCTATTTGAATCACATATAAAGAAGGGATGAGAAAGTGCCATTCAGCAATAACTGCAAAGATGATGTGCCCCTGAAGAACAGAACCCTGGTTCCTACACTGGTTCCCTACAACAATGGTGCCATTCAAAAGTTTCTGAGCACAGCTGATCATTAATGATAAGAGAGAAGCTTAGGAGTGGGAGCCCATCCCCACCTCCCTGGGGAAGGCCTCTTCATGGCTCTCGTTGGTGTGAACTCAGAATCTGCATTCAGGCAAACGTTTACTCTTTTGAGTACAACCACTTAGTGCAAAATGAATCAAAAAGTGAGTTTTGCCATTCAATTTATAATCCTAACTACAATTCAACATCACAGTGGTTTCTCAGCGCACAGGTAGTCCAACAGGTTTACAGTGTGAGAATAAAGTGAATTTTGACATTTCAACCAGTGAAGGAAAGAAAGAAGGAAGAAAGGGATTTGCTACTGGGTGTAGTTATGTAAGAGACTCCACCAAATCTGGTAGATTCTTCCCTGCATAATAGACTCAACATGAAAGAAAGTATTTAGAGAGCTTCTTCCCAGATAGAGGACAAAGGATTCATAAAGACATAAGGCAGACTTTGATTTCTCTCATCCTTCTTGACTTCTTACATCTACAAATACTTGGATGTGGTAATTTAAAGATTTATTTACAAAGACCTTGACATTTCTCCTTCAAGAGGTGGGCTTCACTATATTTAATGACTCACATGTAGCCAACAGAATGTGGCAGAAGGGTCACTATACTATACGTATAAAGCATCTTCACCTTAGTTCCTTTGGGAGCCTGCCCTTGAAGAAGCCAATCAAGTAAATGGTCCCATAGCATGAATCTGCCAAGCTGGAGGGGGGGACACTGCTTGGCAGTCCCAAGGATTCCCAAGAAGCATATCTGGCAGCCATGTGTGTGAGTGGCCTTAGAAGGTCACCAGCCAAGCCAGCAGATGACTGAAATGCTGAGAGACCCTGAGCAGAAGCTGTCCAGCCAACTTTCTGCTGGCCCATACCATCATGGCAAGATAAAAAGTTTGTTTTGAGCTGCTAAATTTAGAGTAGTTTGATACAGCAGCAAAACCAGTAAGTAGTCCTCCCTTATCTGTGGTTTTGCTTTCTGTGGTTTCGGTTACCCTCAACCCCAAAATATTAATTTTGTTTTGCCTTCTGTGGTTTTACTCAACCACAATCCAAAAATACTAATATTTGTCTTGATTCTTTCAAGAGAGACAGACCTTTAAGAAATAAACAAAACACTTTTAATAAAAGAAAAGAAAGCAGAATGGTATTTTGTGATGCATTAAATAATATGAAATTAAAATTTTAATGTCTATAAGTAAAGTTTTATTAGCATACAAAAAAGATACAATGAATCAAAATACATTATTCTGTCATATATACATAATTAAAATAAATCACAAAAAAAACAAAATAGAGACTTCGTTCATTTAATTACCATGGTTTACTGTAACAATAGTTCTATATGCTTATTAGTTATTGCTCTTAATCTCTTAGTGTGCCCAATTTATAAATTTACCTTTATATAAATATGTGTGTATAAAAACAACAGTGCATCTAGGGTTTGGTACTAACTGTGACTTCAGGCATCCATATGGGGTCTTGGATTGTATCTGCTTCGGAAGGGGGAGGGGCTATAGTACAAATCTGCATTTTAGGTCTCAAAATAATAGCAGGAGTAAGGGTTGAGGTCAAAGTAACAAACAGAATGTCACCTGCTTAATAGTACAATCACAGATGACAGTTATGGAAGGAATTTACTCAAAATGTCATTAAAACAGCACTGAGAAGCGTGAACATTTTCTTGAAATGACTTTTGTATGGATGAGTCAGTGCATGGGTCCAGGCACTAACTCTAATTCTGCAAACACCTGGGGTTTTTAATTGATTTTGAGGGTTTTTATTTTTTCCTACAAAATGAGAATACTGGTTGGCTCTCTAATGTGCATTTTATAAATCCAAAATTTGTATTCACCATATAAGAATTGCTCTCACAAATTGAACAACCCATAAGAATAATTACTTGCTTTCCAAAGAAATTCCCAATTTGATAAAATAATTTTTAACAATAGCTTCCTTCAAAGAGTCAGTTTTTCCATTCATTTGCTACATGATTTTCAAAATTTCTATTTAAAAACAACTTTTCAGATACCCCTGTGTAAGACAATGCAGAAAAATAAAGATAACATGAAGATCAAAAAAACAAAAATAAAAAAAAAACCCAGAAATTATTCTGTCTAGCACCAGGCCATGTAATGTAACTTTTACTTTTTCCAATTTACTAAGGTGAAGTGCTATTCTACTGAAGTGGCAGGGGAGCCCAGTTCACATCTTGTTCTGGGCCAGGTGATGCTTTCCTTCTTCACAAGTACTATTTAAGGCACTGATGTGAGCCATCTGCCTTCAGTGGAATACCCTGCAGATGCAACCAATATATAAGCTGATCTCTACTTTCCATAATCACTTCATTTTGAGTGTTGTGTAAAGAGTCTTTCACTTTTATGATTTCAAGGGAGTTATAGATGGTAATGTTACCTTTGACCTCATTCCCTTCTGCGATATGCATCTGTGGTATAAATCACTTTCAGGGAAGGATATATTTCTAGAGTGACAGTGACTGCACCTTCTGGAATCTCTTCGCTTTTCCCACCATGCAAGGGCACCCTCTGATTCTAAAAATCAACACAGCTACTTTTGGACTTTTCAAGCCCCAGAATTTGGACACAAACCTCTGCGTCTCTCTTCTTCCCCTTTGGCCTGGGCTCAAGTGTGCTTTTGAAATGCTGTTGTCCCCAAAAGGATGGACACTTGGACAATCTCAGCAGGAAACTACTCTCATAAAATGCAGAGACCCTCCTTGACCCCTCTTCCAGTGGCTTCCAATCATTTCCTCACTTTGAGATGTTCTTACTCTGCTCTAAACTCACAAAAACATGTTTTTTTTTGGTGAAGACTGATAGACATTGGTATCATTTTATCATTATTTTCAAAAGTCTTCTAAGCTTCTAGGGGAGGAGGGCTACAATTTATTCATTTTTTTTCTTTTTTTTGGATTTTTTAAATTGATTTTATTTTTTTAAATACACGACAGCAGAATGTATTACAATTCTTATTACACATATAGACCACAATTTTTCATATCTTTGTATAAAGTATGTTCACACCAATTCATGTCTTTATACATAACTTGGTATTTTGCATTATAATTCTTACTACACATATATACCACAATTTTTCATATCTCTGTTTTTATATAAAGTAGGTTGACACCCAATTTGTGCCTTCATACATGTACTTTGGATAATGATTTATTTATTTTTGTTTCTCGTGATTCTTGGAATGAAGTGAGCTATGAAGCGCATATATTTGAAATCATAATATAATCCAAAAGTCATGTCTATTTTGTTTTGGGGGTACATTACACATTATATGTGCTGGTAAGGGGGAAGCCAACTGCTCTTTACAAGTGTGTTTGCATTACTAAAATTTAACATTAAATCTATTCTTTAGTTATTTCCTGAATACAAGAGCTAAAAGAACAAAGTTTTGAGATAAAAGGGTCAGAATTTAACTCTGTCCTGAATGACCCACAACAAATGGAAAACAAAGGCTGCATCTCTCCCTCCTCTACCCGTTCTCTCAACTGCATCTCTCACTTCTCATTCCTCTCTTTTCCAATCTTGCTAATATGTGTGATGTGTGTGTTCACTTACTTATTAATTTAATAAATATTTTTGAGTGCCTAATCTGTGCCAGGTAATGCCTGACTGTAACTCAAACTATATAATCTATTGTTCCTTAATGAGACATTTCTTAATGAAACAAAATTTTCTTCTGTAACTTATGTACCATTTAAGAGAATATGGATGAAGAAGGTTT